ATATTTTATTACAATGTGATTATTTATTACTAATTATATTAATATTTATTACAATTATTAATCAATTAATTAATATAAAATATAGCCAAATATCCAAGAGATATCACAATACAGCTATCACAACGTACAATCATAAATTGCTTAAATAAATTGTGTAATTTTTACACTAAATAAATAAATACATAAAACCAAATGGTTCCAACATTAAATAAGTTAAGCTTTACTTTTATATAAATATATATTTTTAAGTGTTTCTTTTTTGTATTTACTAATTGTAACATAATAGTATAATACATAATAGTAGCAGCAGATTTTCTGTTTATATCATACATTGTTGCTGTTTTTTAACCCTTATAAAATGAAATAAAAATACACAATGCTGTGGTGCCACTTGGTACTTATGTTGTAAGAAGAGTACATACTAACATACTGGATACAAATTAGCAAATTATAAAAGCTACACAAATGTGGAGGTGAATATTCATAAAGTATCTACATTATAATTTTTTCCATCTCAGGCGGTCATTATAGGGGATCATCCCTGAATTATCCAGGAAGCAAAAAAATTATTTATAAGTGACACGGAATCAATCTCCTAAATATGTCCTTTCTTGATATTTTCTTGTACAAATAAACCCTTTGTGCTAGCAAAATAATTCACATGAAACCACAACATAGACTCATGTCCCAATCCAGGCAGTGTTGAAACATTTTTTCACTCATTGTGTTTACTTCTTTTGTGATTATTCCAAAACATTTATTACAACTGATTACTTTCCAGAGAGAGCTGAAAAAATATTGATTTATATTAGGTGCTTATGTAATCTAATTTTTTATGGTGTAAATGTAACAAAAAAAATAATATTAGCATGAAATTCCAAGTTTCATTTGTATATTTCAATTATTAAATAATTATGGCTTTAACATTTCAATACTTTAATAAATGTCTTTTTCAAAAGGAAAAAATGTTTATCAGAAAAAAGAAATATTTGTGTGAATATATGTGTAACATTTTTATAAAAGTAAATATTTAGAGATACATAATTTATAAAGTTCAATATTCCTTTTAGTGTATATTGTTAATATTTATGTATGTTTGCCTATAACATTAAAATATATAGTTTATTAGAAATGACAAAACGAAAGTTGTTATAAATTATATAACAATAACATGATAATAAAATACTGATCTTGATATTATTGAAAGTAATTAATCCACAACTAAAAGAACGTTTTGTACTCAATACTCATTCAAGGAGTCTTAGAATGTGCTTACCTGTATAGGATTGATTCCAAAACCATAATATGTTATTTAGTCGATCGACGCATCGCCTATCCAAAGTGATGCGTTTGTTATTTGTTGTATTCTATGATATATAGTTTTTATTGTTGTTCGACTCCTTGCGTGGGCATTTTGAGTCAATTTACTTCACACAACTAATTGTTTAAAAAACTTCCCGTCGTAACAATACACGTATATATAACGTGTATGAAGTATAAAAGTAAAAACAATAAACGATATATCACTTTGTTAATGTTATGTACTTTTAGAGTTCAAAATTATGAACACATTACATAACAAATAGAATAATTAATAATATTGGGTACATGACTTGAAGTCGATTGTCGTCGATCGAGTTTCCGAAATCGATTTCTTATGTAGATTTATAAATAATGTAATAAAGTATCAGAGTAGATTTAAAAATAACATAAATAACTGTAACTAGATAACGTATATGTCTATTGTGCTGTCTCACCTAACACCAGAAATACAAGCTTATAATTGTAATTTATCTGTAATATAATTTATCTCTAAAATATTATATCGATAATAATTAAATACAATATTATACTTACAATCGATTATCTAGTATTAGATCTGTTTACTTTGTATACAGCTGTCAATTGCCGGTGCGTTTCCGGATTTGTTGATGATACGAAACAAAACTTTATTTTGTTGTAAAATAAAACCCCGGTTCAAAACGAAAATTCTGTTAGACTAACGAAGACGAAAATAAAAAGCAATAATAATAATATTAATTTCATTCGGGCGCAAAAGAAAAACGGGTACCAAAATTGGTCATTCTCCTTTACATAAAAAATTATACATAGAGGTTCGTAAGGTACCACCGGTTCGGAAAGCAGTTTCTGTTGAGAAGAGACCGGTAAGAAACTCAACAGTTGCTCTTTTTCAAAGATATTAGTTTACAATATAAAATACCGCTATAATAGTCTTATTCTACCCTACGTGAGTATCAACAGTAGTAACTACACACATTGGCTTCGTGGAGATTTTCCGCAATAGTGTAATATGCTTGAACCATAAGTTGACTTTTGATTTTACGTTTAAATTGATCAAGCGGCAGACTTAATATCGACTGTGGGATTTTATTATACGTGCGCACACCTTGCCCCATGAACGACCTATTTACTTTTTGTAGGCGAAACAATGGCGTAGTAAGTTTGTCCTTATTTCTAGTGTTTAATTTATGTCTGTCACTATTCTTTAGATAAAAATTAAGGTTATGACGAATATACAAAACATTACAATAAATGTATTGAGTAGCAACTAAAACTGACTGATTCATACATTCAGAGACTTTTTCATTCGTTGCCACAGCGTCGCATTACAAGCCTCCCGTTCTAACAGTATATTTTGTCTCTTTTAAATTCATTCAACCCATTCATATGCTTTGTGACCTTTATAAATGAACTATTTATAACGTAAGGGTGTTCTAAAATACGTTGTTTTGGAAAATTTAATAACTCTGTAAATATTGATGTTTGAAGAAAGTAAATGTTTAATACAATTTTAAAAAGTTATCCTCTATATGTGTGTTCATTTATTGTCGCGAATGTAAAGACACGCTGTATAAACAACAATGCCGTAAAGCATTCGGTACTTCGGATGTTTAAAATAAAAATAAGCCGTGATTAATTCGGTAAATTTATTTTATTAATGTTTGTAATATGCGTTTTATTAGAATGTGTAAAAATAAAATAAAAATAACCTTTATTACTAACTAGCGACCCGCCCAGCTTCGCACGGGTGCAATGTATTATACATATAAACCTTCCTCTTGAATCACTGTTTGATGGATGTTTGTTACTCTTTCACGCAAATACTACTGAATGATTTTTAATGAAACTATGAAACTATATAGCTTATACATCAGAATAACACATAGGCTATAACTTATATACATATTTTATATATATCTGTCTGAATGTTACGCCTTTAGTCTAATCTACGCAGACGTAGTCACGGGCAGCAGCTAGTAGTTTTCAAACCGATTGAAGTCGCAAAGTTGACCGTTTTGAAAAAGAAGATATTTTGTTAAAAATAAAATTGTAAAAGTTCGCTCCCTATATTTAATACGACGTAATACTCCCCGGCCCACTTTGGCAGAACTCTAGGCGACGCACGCCCGAGATGAAATGGGAATTGAAAAAAATAAAGAAATAAGCTATGAAATGAAGTGCTTGAAAGTTTTTATTCCGTGGAAGGAGAATGACGTTGAATAAAATTGTATATAAAAGCCATACCTACAATATATTTCACAAAAGCGCGACTCTGTCTACGTGTCTCGCATTAGAACTAGGAGATCTGCTTAGTTTTTAGGAAAGTGCATTTCCTAAACACAAAAGAAGAACACGCGAAAGGGCGTTTATAACTTAGTGATGTCACCACAAAAGACTTGATCACTATATAGTAATAAAGTGGTATCCGCTGAGGGTATCGAACCACGACTTCCGGAATCGTGCACAGACGTTTTAACCACTAAGCTAAACGTCTGATTGCCACACCTAAGAAAATCTCAACGTGTTTTATCGATATTGTTCTTTTTTTCGTATTTCTAGCAATGCATGGTGCATCTATTGTTATATTCTTTACCAGCACACAAACAATTTCAAATATCCGAACGATAGATGCGTCGTAATTCTTTTATTTTCGATTGAGTTTAGTGCCTTCTACTGGTGTTAGTGAATTTTGGGGAAAATTATAATCGATAACGTAACCTAATATGACATTAATAAAATTTTAAGTAATATGAAATTAGTAAATGTTTTTTTTAATATCTTATATAATATTTCACATATATATTTAATAATTCACTCCAAGGTCGCTCTATCTTCCTAAACCTAAGGTTCTAGCAGATTTTAATAAATCGCAGATTAATATAGACTCGTCGTCGATTACATTACATTGTCGATTACACTATGTTTAAACTATGCGGAAGTGTGATGTCTATCTATACGGCATTAAACGTTCCTAATCATAGAAAAAAGCGTTATATATTATCCGTATATGTATTTATTTATGTATTTATTACTAATATATATGTGAATATGTATGTATCTATTTATTTATGTACCTATTTATACTTACATATATATTACATTTTATGTCACATTTATTAACATTAATTTTTTATTAGTCCTTATTTAGCACCTACCATCTACTTTTTACCATAACAGGGGTTGACTGGTAGAGAATGCCATTAGGCATTAAGTCCGCCCATTGTAGCCCTTAGCTTAAGGTGTAGCAATGAAGCTTAAATAAATAAATAAATAATATATTCACTATAATATAACGATTTACTCTTTCACCAGGCGATACGCAGAAGTATAACACTCCACTTCACGCGGGTCTTCTGTGAGGTCGTGGTACGTCCCGGACGGACCTGCCTATTCATGCAACAGCGGATACAGTTGCGTGGCTCTGCCACACTTAATGTTCTGATGAGCGACATCGTACGGACCTGCCGATTCTTGCAACAGCGGATACAGTTGCGTGGCTCTGCCACACTTAATGTTCTGATGAGCGACATCGTACGGACCTGCCGATTCTTGCAACAGCGGACACTGTTGCGTGGCACTGCCACACTTAATGTTCTGATGAGCGACGTCGTACGGACCTGCCGATTCTTGCAACAGCGGGTACAGTTGCGTGGCCCTGCCACACTTAATGTTCTGACAGGCGACGTCTTCAATTCCAGGTTCGACGTTTGGCGGGAGTTCCCCGACCGAATAGTGGGGTTCCCGTCGCGGCTGCACGTTTGGGACAACGCCACGGCATCCTGGAAGTACCACAGCGAATGGACGAACCAGATCTCTATGGTGAGCGATAAAATTAGACATTATCTGTAGCAAGGCGTTCAGAGAGCAGACGCTTCGTCCATTGGTAAGTGATCACCGTAGTTCGTTGACTTTTGCAGGAATAAAAGTTGACGGCGGGTGGCCATCCTTAAGGGAGGTAAGGAGTGAGGTAACCAGGGCCCACTTTTTTGAAGGTTGTCATTGCATCCTCAAGGTTTTCTAGACGCCACGACCTCACAGAGTACCAGCGTGAAGTGGAAGTGTTATACTTTGCGTTTCGTCATGCGTGAGTGAGGTAGCCAGGGCCCAATTTATTAAAAGGTAGCAACGCATCTACAACCCTAAGGGCGTTGCAAATGACCATGGGCGGCGGCTCACAAATTTCGTGATCACTTAACATCAGGTGAACCGCCAGCTAGTTTGCCACCTTCCAAATACAAAAAGAGATTGGGCCGTCACTTCTCGAGGCAAACGATAGAAAAAGTATAAATATCTGTGGATATGTGGTATTTCACCGGTGGAGCCAAAAGTGCTTCGTGGCTGCGTGCGTGATTCAAAATCGCTTCGTTCCATATAAGTTGCTTCAAGAACTAATTTTACGCTGTTACCTTAAGTTGAACAGTCGCTAGAAATGCCAGCAGGTTAATTTGCTATCGTGCTATGATTTTCTCTACACAATACTCGTAGCAGGAATAAAGAAAGAAAATCTTCAGTACTTTTATTTTAAACCTCAGTGTTTAAACTGAATTATCATATCTCATTATTGATAATAAATCATTATCCATGATGTGGTTCCCTATAATTTGTAAGAACAGTTATAAATCTCAAGTCTGTATAATTTAGACTATAGCGACTTAACTACGGCGTAACTTGCATTGGTAATCTAATAAGTAAATAAATAAATAAATCAATAATGATATATCATTTATAGTAACAGAGAACATATTGAAAGCGAAACGATATAGGTACATATAGATATATCGTATCTTTAACTTTAATTCATGAATAACTTTTTCGATTAGTTTTCACATATCTCTATATATTCTCGCTCAGTAGTGTTTTTTGTCGGTATATGGGATACTTTAATAATTCTTCATGAAATTAATATTGTGTGAACCATTTTAAAGGTTTACCTTTGCCGCTATTGACGAAAAATAGACGAGTAAAATAAAGTTAATGCCTACATAAATAACTTGTTTAAAAATTTCTTATAAAGAATGTATGACATTGACAATTTTCAAACTAAGAATAGCGAAGTAGAGTGAAAAACTTTGTTCTTTAAAATATGATACGTCTCGTTGGTTATTTGCACACTGTTTATAATGCCATTCGCGCATGAGTTAACTACTTGTAAAAAGTAAGGTAACATTTTTGTAATTATTTCTAAGATAAGCAAGTTTCCTCACGATGATTCGTTCACCGCGGAGCACGTGATAAGTCAGCACTTAAAATTAACAATTTCATTGGTGCCGGCATCGGACTGAGGTTGCCAGAGTGTATTAAATTTAAGGCGAGCGCTCGGACACTGAGCTATAACGGCTATAATGGGCTTAAGCTTTCTGCCCACCGTTGGATCTTTAGCGTGAGGTTTTTTTTTTATTTATTTGTATAAGAAAAAAAATAAAAAAATATTAAAGTGACACAAACATAAAGTCATAAGAGTTTTACCGTGTAACAGTATCATCAATCGTGTATATGTATATATTTATTACCATTTAACATAACAAGATGAGTATTAACACGAAGATAATTTGAAGAATAATAATTAATACAGTAGGTAGATACTAATACAAGTGAAAGAACATCGGTGACCGCTCTGGCCGCTTTTGTTGACCGACTTTAAAAGGTGGAGGTTCTCAATTCGACCTTTTTTATGTTTATTATTATATACTAGCTGACTCTGCAAACGTTGTTTTACCATATAAACTATTTCTAGAGGAATCGGAACGCACGCATAAAGTGTTTGACAGGTTACACAGACATAGTTGACAGGTACAGGTACAGTTTGTATGGGAAAATAAAATTGTTGCTATTTCGATTTTCCATGCAATTTCCCATAATTTCTCATCGTTTAAACCTTCCCTGGACTGTCACAAATATTTCAAAACCAAAATTAGCCAAATCGGTCCGGCCGTTCTCGAGTTTTAGCGAGACTAACGAACAGCAATCCATTTTTATACAGCGTGTCTTTACCTCCGCGACAATAAAAGAACACACCTCTAACGCTACTTGCCAATAATCATAAAAAAATATTAACGTTAAAAAATCCATAACTAAAAAAAAAAATTCAAACTAATTAAGTAAAAAAAGAAACAAAATTTGTAACATCCTATACAACAACAACTGACTGATTCATACATTCATTCGTTGTCACAGCGCCGCATTACAAGCCTCTCCTTTTAACAGTATGTTTTGTCTCTTTTAAATTCATTCAACCCTGATTCTTTGTGACCCTTACAAATGAACTTTACATTAAAGTTTTATACGTAAGGGTGTTCTAAAAGTCTTTGTTTTGGAAAATTTGATAACTCGTTAAATATTGATGTTTAAATAATGTAAATGTTTAATACAATTTAAAAAACGTTATCCTCTATATGTGTGTTCATTTATTGTCGCGATGGTAAAGACAGGCTGTATATAAGATTTTTTGTGTTCTTATGTTACCTCATAACTTTTGACTGACTGGAGCGATTTTTATGATTCTTTTTTTTTAATTTGAAGGCTTGTGCTTTCCATGTGGTCCCATGTTAATTTCATCGGTATTGGATCTTTGAGTTCGGAGATACTTGGGGAACTCCTGAAAATCAATTATAAAATGAATACAGAGCCGAGGTATTTGAAGTCGGCTTTGTTTTTCGTTAGTAAAAAAAAAAGGTTATTATTATAAAAAAAAAAAAGGATGGTTGTATGATATATACGTGCAAGTCGGCGTCCTGTCCCCTCGTCCCCAGGTGCTGACTGGCGCCGCCTTCCACCACAAGATCTGGTCCTGGTACTACACGCACAAGATGCCAGCAGAGATCAGGGACTGGGTGGACGAAATCTTCAACTGCGAGGACATCGCGATGAACTTTCTAGTCGCCAACGTCACTCGGAAACCGCCCATAAAGGTGAGAGCGCGCCCGGTTCGATGCCTGCTGATGATTTTGTACCGGATAGAAGTTGTCCTGTACACACGACTTAAATCCGGCAACTTAAAAAAAATTATAATTGTGTATCTAAACCATTCTCGAATCGACCTGAAGACACACCAAAAATTTCATTAAACTTAAAATCGGTTCAGCCGTTTAGGAGAAGTTCAGAAGAAAGTTTACAAAAAAGTTAAGTATCACAGAAAAAAACAAAACAAGAGATAATGAGACCGCAGTTTCTTGCAGGTTCTTCTCTGGTCAGTTGTAGTTTAGTGAACCGGTTGAAGTTTTTTTATGTGAGATGGATGATAAGAGGAAGAAAAAAAAAGAATAAATTGTCTCTTGTGGGAATCGAACCCACAACCCCCGATGCCGAAGCCAATCTGCGCCACGGAGGCATCTTTAATATAAAAAAACCTGAGAGCTGCTATTTTAAGTCGCTTGAAAAGACCGATTTAAATTGGTCAAAGACAGTAGCGAGTGCAAGCACGGTGACCAGTGGCGGTCACCGGGCAAGTGGCTCAGCAAGCACACTACAGCAAGTCCAGCGGCATTTCTCTATCCAAACGGACTAGCAATACGAGCAATTTTGTTGCCTGTCGCCGGTCACTGTACTAATTTGAATGTTTACATTACGGCAACTGACGAGTCATGAGCCCCGCGGGGGCTTAGAGGGCGCGCGAGGATAGCATTTGCACCAAAAAATTGAAAGCTATTTTAAGTACAGTACGGTCTGAGAGTGGCGAGTCAACATGGCTGTCGCCAATGTCCGACGGCTTACACTTTTTTTTTATATGTAAAGTTGCCAAGCGAACAGACGGTTCACCTGATGTTAAGTGAATACTGAGTATTGGGTTCTGGCCACCTCACTGACCAGACGAATCGCGAACGTATTATACTTCCACTTAACGCCGGTCTTCTATGAGGTCGTGGTACTCACCCGGACGAGCCTGCCCATCCGTGCAACACCCGAGGCTGCTGCGTGGCCCTACCACTGTAACACACTACTGTACTTACGCACTGTACTTGTCTACTGCACCCAACGCTTGACTAGCGTTTCTCGGGCTAAACACTCGACCAGTGTAAATCGGACTAAACACTCGACCAGTGTAAGTCGGACTGAACACTCGACCGGCGTAAGTCGGACCGAACACTCGACCGGCGTAAGTCGGACCGAACACTCGACCGGCGTAAGTCGGACCGAACACTCGACCAGTGTAAGTCGGACCGAACACTCGACCGGCGTAAAGCGGGATATACGCGCGGCGCGCAGGTGACGCCGCGCAAGAAGTTCAAGTGCCCCGAGTGCACGGCGGCCGAGGCGCTGTCGGCGGACGCGCGCCACATGGCGCAGCGCTCCGCGTGCGTGCACCGCTTCGCGACCGCCTACGGCCGCATGGCGCTCAGCTCGGTCGAGTTCCGCGCCGACCCGCTGCAGTACCGCGAGCCGCCCGCCGGCGCGCCCCACCTCTACCCGGCCGTCGGCCCGCTCTAGCCGGCGCCCCGTAAGCCCGGCCCGCAGCTACCGCCGCCCCAACGCCCGGCCCTCTTTAGCCAGCGCCGCTCGAGCCCGGCCCGCTCTAGCCAGTGCCGCTCGAGCCCGGCCCTCAGTTATCCCCGTCCGCACGCAAAGCCCACTACCCGGCGTCACTTAAGCCCGGCCCGCGGTTACTCTCTGGCGGACGCTCGGCCCGCTATCCAACGTCGCTCGAGCCCGGTCCGCAGCTGCCGGCGCCCCAACGCCAGGCCCGCAGTTGCCCTCTGCTGAAAACCAGGCCGATTCTGGCCAGCGCCGCTCAGACCGGCCCGCAATTACCGCCGCCCGAAGGATCCAGCTCTAGCCAGCGCTGCGTCGGCCCGGCCCGCAATTACCGCCGTTCGAGCCCGGCCCGCTTTCGTCGTGTGCTCAGGTGAATTCGAAGCCAGTTAACAATCGGGCGGTTCGTAGATTACTGCGAAACGCCCTTTCAACTTTCGACGTCAATTTAATGAGTCAAAATTGGCAATGAACCCCGCTGTAATCACATCGGTGATAACGTCCAGCCCGCTCTTAGCCGAGGTTGGGATTCTATATTGGGCGGCTGACTGTGCATAGGGCTGCGTAATACTCGGTCCGTATTAAAACTCCACCGTGATTGCACCTAATAGCCCCGTGTGGACCAATGGATGCATACTGTATGGCCCTATAAGCCTTACGCCTGCGCGGCCCTACAACGGTGATCTCCAGGGCTGCACAACACACGGCCCGCAAGCTCGGACCCATCTGTGGCCAATATTAAACTGCAACCAGGTCGCATGACTTAATTATAGATACCGATACATAGAGGTCTCTTTTTGATTGATTAGCGAAATATTTTTTGTAAAAAAAATGTATTTAACAGGCACATGACAAAAACCAAAGTTTGTATAATGTAATTGAAATGTATATTTCAGAAGTGTTTAAACTAAAATGCATTGAAAGCATAATACTTTGTGCGGTCTATATAAAGTTTATTTAGCAAAGCGTAAAAGAGACAACTAGGCTAGCGCTCTGTCTCTTTCTAGGTAATTTGATTTTAAACAAACGTAGAGTTCATTTCCGAAATGTGAAAGCGTATAAAGCCCTGATATATATTTTTTAATTTCGGGAGGTATGGACAATAAAATTTTAAAAGGCTGTACGAAAAGTATAAACAAAGGGTTTCGTCCCCTAACCAGGGTATGTAGTTTTAACCGCAAACAATAGCTTCCTCACCTAGTTGATTTTGTATTAATCACATGAGATCCCTCCAAGATCCAGTTGTTATCGTTACTATCAATTCGTATGTCAAATATAAAAAAGTATCGATATAGTTTCACTAACTCATGTTGTACAACACTTTTAGCTCCGTTGTAATTTTATATCTTCTAATTACGTCGTATTAACTTTGTCGATAAAGTTTACATACATCACTACGAACGCACCATTACTGCTTAAGTGTGAGCGGGAGGGGAAATGATTTGCGACGCTGATAGCGACTGGTCTGGTTGCTCCATTTTATTCTGTGCCATGATTATTTATTTATTTAAAAGTGACTTCGATACGAATAGACATGTTGTACGACATTATTGTATTTCTCTGGCAGCTTTAGTAATATCCGTGCGGTCGTGATAATTTTAATATTTACGTATTTCTTTATTACTTTCGTCGCATTAAGGAGTTTTTGTTGCCAAAAGCAATCGCCTCCATATTTTCTGGGCGAGATCCATTTTCTTATTCCATTTATTATTTAAATTTTTATCAAATACATAAGTTTGAGTTGTACACACATTTTGAGCTTAAAACGCTACCCTTAGTCATTTATGACATATCTTATCGAGCAATCAAATGTTACTTATGTTGAAGACAAACCGTTAGAAGTCGTGCGATGACTGTTTCAAAATAAACCCAATATTTTTAAATCTCTAAAAAAATTTTTTATATTATTTTTTAATATAAAGTTACAATAATATACAATTATTTAACTAATAACAGTCGCTATTATGTAATATGTTACTGCACATATTTAATATGACTGTATACATTTAATTTTTTTTTAACGTTTAGCTTTTCGTATTTTTGTAGAATGTGTAAACATATCTTTTAAACGTTTATAGTTTACTAATGTATAAATTTTTTATATTTTGTCCGTGCGAAACTAGAGAGTGCATGCTTTAATGGCTATCCTAGATGGCGCTTTTGGCTAAGGCATACCTCCATTACTTGCCATTCCTTTCGCCGTAGTGAATAATGTTTAAGACAATAAGCCCCGTTTATTATATTTTTTATTATGGCAACTCTGGGTGCTTTAGGGTTGTTTTATTATCTGTGCTCGTATATTATATTTAATTATTTCTTGTTAGTTATGAAATCCATCCATTTCAGATAGTTGATTTGAAACCGTTTTATACGATACCACAGAAAATAATGTTTCAAATTTGTATTTTTATATTATAAGTTCTAATGAAGTTTTTTTTTTTTAAATAGACAAATTGTACAAGGCAGCTTACCGAAATAACTCGAAGTATTAAAACGGCAAGCAGAATACCGTAAAGTATGCTTTTGAAAGAGATTCTCCAATGGTGCGTTGTTCGTTGTATGTACCCCTAACGCATGCGTTTGGCATTCGATATCGCCCACTTTTAAAACTTTGATATACCTACTTAGATTAATTATTTTCCCATTGAAAGCTTATTGAAATCGTCCAATGAATGAACAATAACACGGGTACCTGGTTGTTTTACGTGCTTTTTATGTGTAGGTGAATTTTTTTAACCTTGGCAGCCCGCATAGTTTTACGGCGTGGGTATGCTTAAAAATGTCTTCTGTCCCTAGGAGCGTAAAGAAATGATATTCTAAAGGAGCTAGTGATTCAGCTGTAGGTGTATTGTGAAAATTTTAGTCCATTTCGACATATCGGTGCTTGTTTGAAGGATTATTCCTAATGAAAGTGAAGCGGGGATAATATAGATAATATATCGTATATATATAATATGGATATTATATACGGAAACCGCACGATATAGATAAATGTAGAGTCTAGAGTATACTGCGGATTGTGATGTTATATTTTTTGTACACGGAGTGATGGCGGAGTTATCGCGTCTTAGAATATATATTATTGGAATGTGCTGTATATATCAATGAAATATTGAGGGGGGACTAATTTAACTCTATGACGGTTATAGACTATTTTCTATAGTAGAATATATCTATGCCTTATAGCATTTTATTTCGATGTTCAAAACAAATTTGATTCGCGTTCGTCTCGTTTGGACTTGAGGTGAAACAAAAGCCTAATTGATTTGAGAAAAAAAGCAACAGCAAAATTTAAAAAACGGCTGAATTCATAATAGCCTTGTTCGGTCACGTGACAAATGCAAAAATGCAAAACTTCAACGCGGATAACTGTCCCGCCATTTTGTGATGTCTCGTCACCGCTTTGAATGTATAGTTTACAAATCTGCGTCTCACAATTCAATGTTTTAATATTTAAGGATATTATACCAATGGATTTTATTACGATACAATTTTTACTTTTATACGACCCTATATTTTTAAGAAAAGATCGAGCAAATATTTTGATGCTGGCAATAATAAGTACATATTGATATCGCCTTTTATATCCCGTCAGTGTATAGAGTTTGTTTTCATTTGATATTTTATTATTTGATAGATATAATATTTGTAATGTTCGTTTTTCTTCCTTTTTTTAAAATGGAGATGAAGTTTTTTTTTTTGAACAATCATGGCCAAAGACCTTGTCGACTAGTCTCGAAGATGTATTTATGGTTTATGCATTTAAATTTAATTAATTGGTAAGAGATCTTTATTGGAGGATAGTGGTTACCAGCGGTATATCAATGATAGACTGAGATATAATTTTCATTTTACAATAGATGTATTGCTAGATATTAGATGTGTATATGTATTAATATGTAGCTTCGTGTAGATATGTCTATGAGCTGTCCTTGAATTTTGTGGAATGTCAATTCTTTCGGCAAAAGCGTAACTTTGTGTCGACTCAACTTTTCGGCCTAAAAATGGAACGAAATAGTTATTGGATGTTTAAAAATTGGTGTTTTGTCTTGGATTTCTTACAATTTCATAGCCGTTTAAGATTTTTGGCATTCAATAGTGTCGGGAACTTTAAAGTCACCTTTTCGTTTCTTAGATAAGCGATACTTATATAGAATAAAAATCAATTTCGATGTATTAAATAATTTAGAAATAAAAATATTTGTCGATATTTATCTATTAATTAACTTGGACAAATGATGATTTTGGAATGGTTTTACATTGTTTATTGTTTTCTTTTTTTATTAATTTTGTGATTGATTTTACATTTTTTACCCATTTATTTAGATTATAATAATTCTTTCATGTTTGACGTACATTGACAATTTGTAGAAGTTTTTTGTTAGATATTTGACTGTAGTTAATTACAACCCTTTTAAATGTTACGGATTTTTACAGTTTCCTTTAATTATTGAAAATGTCGTATACTTTTTTGGGTGGCTTTAGAGTTCTCCTTTATTTTACTCTATGGTGCATTACATAGTGCAGCTAATAATTTTAGTAAGTTACGTCATTCTCTATGTCATAGTTCCGATGTGAATCGCATACAACACTTTGTAAATAGTCTTAATCTGTGGTACGAATCGATTATTACATTTGTCTTCACTATAGCGGCTCTGTGCATTGGCTGCAATATAAGTTTATTATTTAAAAAAAATAAGTTTATTATTATCGTGGTTTATTTGTTGGAAATATTGTCATCTATTACTGTTGCCACAAGGCACTGACCTTGCAGCCAATTATTTCCTTAACTTATAAGTTATAAAAAGGGCCTGATAAATGTTTTATACGTAAATACTTGTTACAAGTTTGTATCCAACTTTGTCTTTATTTGTTGGTTATTTTTCTGTCATGAGTATCTGGGTGATGGCATTAAAATGAATTATTTCATTTGTAATAAAGTGTTTTTGTATATCCTGCCATAGAAAAAGCAAAAATGTAACAGATCCGCTTAGCGAACATACGTATTACGTAGTATTCGATGAATGTAATGTTTGTTGATGTTTTTTTTTTATCTGTAGATAATATTTTATAGGTGTAAGTACTTAATAGATATTTTTATTTGTTTAATACCTGTACAGCGTGTAAATAGTACACTATATTATACTGTGAATAAAAGGAGACATATCAATTTGTAAGCTTTGTTTTTTTTTTTTCAATGTTACCTTTGATAAATATAACCGTTCCTGATGAAAGAAGAGAAGATAAAAATCAAGCGAACAGGGTAGCACAGACTCGGGGCACAAAACATTGGATCAATACCTCGTTGGTTGAAGTAACCCGAGTTATAACTGCCACAAACGCACTATGAACAGGTTTCGAAATGTAGCTGTCC